TGAAGCTGAGCCAGCGTGAAAGAATGGGATAAGTAAGTCACTGAGCAAGAGGTACCAGTGAATCCCAAAGCCTGTGGTGGTGGGGTTTTGTGCCAGGCCTTCACTACTCCCCATGGAACACTCCAGTGAGGAGGGCTGACACTGGCAAGTCAGGACAGGTTGCTCAGAAAGGTCAGTGACAGTTTGTGACAGGCTGAGTGATGCTGTGGTGGGTTGGGAGCAGCTGACTGGGGGTACCTGGGGCAAAGATTCTTTGTTTTAAGGTGCACAGTGAGTCTGTATGGTGAAGGGCAATGCTGGTGGCACACAGGATAAACACCAACAAGCCCAGGTCTGGACCTTTGGGTGTGCACAGGGACTGAGAGCTTTGTTCTCAGGGCCCACACCAGCCCCTGCTGCTCCCCAGGGCTCAGCCAGGCTCTTGCATAAGGCTCTTGGAGCCTAAAGCCAGCCCTGTAAGCACAGAGGACACCGGGGCTCTGATGGGCACAGCAGGCCCCAGAGCAAACTGCCGGGGCTGCTGAGGAGGCAGGTTGGGTGGAGAAGCAGCAGGGGGGCTGCAAAGCAAAGCCCAGCTCGGAGGCATCCATAGCACAGTCAGTGCCAACCCACCAAGCCCTCGAATCCCTTGGCACCAGAAGCAGATGTGTGATCTCGTGCCAGTCGTGCATCGTCTGGGCTCAGATCGTTTCAGGGAGCAGTAACTGAGCTCGGTGCCCTTAATTTGTTCCAGTCCCCTGTGTGGGCACACCCTGCAGCAGCAGCTCTTCATTTTCAAATCAGCACTTCTCTGACCAGATTTTATACACAACGGTCTCAAAATTCCTCATGTGCTGTTCCTCTTGTATTTTTTTCCCACGTCAGAAAACTTGTTTTAATGCTTTTTCTCCTTTTCTCTTAATAATCTGGTGTCTCATAATACACCTTATTTATTTCCTAACTCCTTCTTACCTGCCAAAATTTCCGATTTTTTTTTTCTCCGCCATTCTCATCTTCTGGATCAAAGCATTTTTTGCTGATCTGTACCACAGATCAGCAATGTTATTTTTGTTGAAGATTTGGTGGATTTTAGTTACACAGTTTTAGGCAGAGCCAGGATTACAGAGAGGTTTGGGAGCAGCAAGGCTCGTGTGTATCCACATCAGCCTAATAGAAAAACCGTGTGCGAATGTCTGGGGCTTTATTTGCACGTTAAAGTCGTAAGTTTAATTCACTTTGTAGCCGAGCAGTCGCCCTCAAGCTTTCTGCTCCTGTGCATCTCTATGAACACAAATCCTCACGGGGGCACTCTTGGTTCGAGCACAGAGCAGAGGAGGTGCAGTTTCAGCTGGAGTTTTCCTTTGTAGTGCACTGACAAAAAAAAAAAAAAAAGCCTAAGGAGCTCCTAGGATGACTTTCAAGTCACGGTTAAAAATAAGCTAAAATAAGTGTTACATAAGGTAAAGGAGCTTCAGTTCTACGATTCTGTTATGAAGTAAATCTAGTTATATAATGTCTGCTGCCAGAATTTCAACTTTCACTTCAAATAGGGTCACACTAGGAATGAAGGCTTAGTACTGAGAAATGGTATTTAGCTGACTTACCTTTATCAATATTTTTCTTGTTTCTTCTGCAACTGCCATTTTTTTTGTGTGTGTAAAAGCAGGGGGGAAATAAACTGTCACTGTATGTGATGTTATGGATTTCCTGCTGTTACAGGCTGTGATACATAACCCACAGTGACAGGGAAAACTGGGATACTTATGGGAAGGATTTATTTGGGAATTTAGAGGGAGCTTCCCGCTTGGTGTCCATTTCCCAAACCCATGATAATTGAACTGAAATTATTTCTAACGCTCTGTGCCGTCAGGCTTCTTTTCCTGTCTCTTGAACAGCTGGATTTCTCTTTGTTATCGCTGTTAATAAGCACTGGGAGAATTATTAGCTCTTCAAAGAGCAGACATATAAATATGACATTACCAGAACAATGCCACCATAAAACAGCTCCAGAAAAATGGCATTAAACCCCTCTTTTTTGCCTTTTTTTTTTTTTTTTCTGTCTTGCTGCAAGAGCATTTAGTGGGCAAAACCGAACCGTGCCGCGGGCCCTGGAGTGAGAAATTCCTTCGAAGAGACAAGCCTTGTGCTGTTCACAAGGAGGATTAGCGGTTCCTAAACGCCTGAGGCATTTCTCAGGCACGGTCCGTGTAGCTGTGACAAAGGACACTCCCGAACTCCTGACACTCGTCTCAGTGCAGGTAGGGCTGGGCCGGGTGAAGGCTCCGGGGCTCAGAGGTGGGTAATCTGAGCGGGAGGTGACTCGTGGGCTGTTCCCACGATTAGTGCCCGAGCCCTGAGCAGCAGCCCCTGCTTCCCTGCCGGCTGCTCCACAGGCAGGGTGGGAGCTCCAGCTCCAAGCAGGGATCTCCTCGCAGGCAGGAGCCCTCGCCGTGCTTTGGGATAATGATTGTTATTACTGCCAACACCCCTCTTGGGTGACTGTCAGCCCGAACTATAGCACCAAATTGGCTGTCCTCCTTTGCTAATTAATTTTGTTTGTAAAATACTCCTCCGAGGGAGAGGGAATAAATGTTACCATTAAGGACTTAAATAGGCTTTCAGATGAAATGCCATAACCAGCTGCAGGTCAGCAACAAACCATTCTTTGTTAAGGTGTTTTCCTTTTGCAGAGATACAGCCTGAACAAGCTGAATAATCTCATCCTTTTAAGGCAGACCGTTAAGGTGGACTAATTCTGGGATCAAAAATATCTCATGGGTCACAGTAGCAGAAAGGAACAGATTCTGAACTGTTCATTATTTTAGTGTAACACTTCCTGAAAAACTGTGTGAAAAGGGCTACAGTGTTCTACTTACTTTGTATATTTTGGCCTATATTTAAAAGTAATGACCTTAAGCAAAATTAAACCTTTCTGGCCCACAGAAAAAAATATCACGCTGAAATCAAGACTGATACACACAGAAATCAGAATTCTAATCTTACCCAGGTTATTAAAAAAAAAAAAATCAAAGAAGTCATAGACTCCTTTAGGTTGGAAAAGACCTTTAAGATCGAGTCCAACCATCAACCCAGCACTGCCAAGGCCAGCACTAAACCACGTCCCCAAGTGTCACATTTACATGTCTTAAAGCCCTCTGGGGCTGGTGACTCCACCACTTCCCTGGGCAGCCTGTTTCAGCAATAATTTAGGCGGCTTGTTGATTAATATTATGATTAAAATATCAGTAGTGTATGAAATTGCTTCACAATAGATAAAAGAAAAAACCCAACCAACCAACTGACATCTCAGTGTAAGCGTGAAATCACAAGGAAAAATGAGTCTTTTGGCTTTTTGGCCACTGCACACCAACCCTTAACTCAGGAATTGTGTCACAGAGCAGCACGTAAAAACCAGAGGGAACTTCAGCACTGTGTGACCACCTTAGGAAAAAATATAGCGTTTTAGAGGTATATAAAGCTGGCAAGGAGAGCCCACCCAAGGGAGACGTTTAGACACTACAAAGGAGGAGGCAGGAAATAAGCTGTTGGTGGCAGTGGCTGGGAAAAGCAGGAATTAAACGGCCTAAAGTGTCACTGGAGGTTTTAGCAGAAAAAAGAATTAGCTGGCACAGAAAAATATTTGAATGATACATTTGAAAGCCTGGTAGGTTTGGGTAAAAAAATGGCTTATTTTCCAGAGACGAACAGCGTTAGGTAAGAATTTCAATTTTGTGTTAATCTCCAGTTAAACTGACAATTAAAGTGATGCCACAGGGAGTTGAACCCTCTGGACTCAGAGCAAACAAAGGGGTCTTAGAGTTACCAGTGGCCTCTGAAAGAGGTGTGAATGGGGAGGCTGTTCCCAGCTTTAGGTGACTCATGATCCACACTCTTGCAAGAAGCTTCTTCAGGAATCCCATCTAATAAGTGTAATTACCATTTTTTGACCTAGCATTACTTATTTCTTCATTACCTTTATTTTTTTTTCTATTAATTGGTTAAAATATTTTTATATCGCTCTTTTTAATGTGATGCTGTAAAAGAATAACGTGTGTTCTCTTGTTCTACAAGCCTGTCAAAAGATTTTCCCGAAGGCAAAATAAGGGATATCTTAAAAGCTTTTAATTGTTTCACTAGTATTTCATAGAGAGAAAAGCTGTTTTCAGACGTAAATAATTTGCCAAATAACCAGGGTAAAATCAGACATGGAAATGGATAGGATGATGGATAGGATAACCCTGAGCTCAGAGGTTTGAACAGAAGTGATTCTACTACAATTATGTTTTTAGTGCTGTGTGTTTTTCCTTCTTCTTGTGGGCATAAGGAAGTCCATAACTAAGTAGACAAATGGAAACCTCAAACACAGAAATGTGCTGCATCCAGTTCATCATGTAGTGACCTTGGGAAGATCCCAAGTGCCATCTCCAGCTGGAGAGGAATGCCCTGTAATGAGCCACGCTCCCAGCAGAGGTTAATGCAGGGCTCTGGAAGTTAATAACTCCTCCTGAGCTCGGGGGCCTGGCTCTCATGGCAGCATCACCCAAGGTACTGGGGGCAGGTGACATGGAGCCTGAAAACGTGGGTGAGAGGAGGGAGGCACCAGCAAAGGACAAGGAGGCAGCTACCAGAGAAGTGGTGCTGGTTAAGCAAACTTAGGGTCACAGTAAAGCAGAACTGAGGCAGCTGGAGTTCAGAGGGGTACGGAATTCTTTCCCAGGGGTTACAAAACCTCTGGTGTTCTGTGAGGCTGAGCGGTGGGAGTGCCCCTCGCTAAAGGAAAGCCCCAGGGAAGGAACCCAGCTCCTTGTTTGTGTCTGTCCCTCAGGGCTCCGAGGTGCCACGGTGCTGCTGGTGGCACGGTGCTGCTGGTGCCACGCCGTGCCTCGCTTTGTGCACACACCCGGCCAGCTGTGCCTGCTGACAGCGAGCACCCCGGGCTGCACTCTGCTCCTCCTGCTGACAGCGAGCACCCCGGGCTGCACTCCGCTCCTCCTGCTGACAGCGAGCACCCCGGGCTGCACTCCGCTCTTCTGCACTCTGCTCCTCGGCAGAGGAAGTGCAGAGCTGCTCTGCCGTTCATCTCCCTGACCCAGTTCGTAGGAATCGCTGCTCGCACTGGCACGGCCTTGTTTGACAGAAGGCATGTCAGCAAGGGCTTGTGCTCAGTCTCACTCCACTGGCCACAACAGGAGTGAATACCAAAGCCATTGTCCTGGTAACTGCTGTTCTTGCTGTAGTGCTCAATGCTCGATTTTTTTTTTGGGGGGGGGGGAATCTATTTTCCTTGTACGCAGCAAATACCAAAGGGAAATTCCCAACCAACATTATTAGGCAGTCTTGTAGCTGGCAGCTGACAGCCAGAAACACAGCTGGACGTTTTATTGGCTGAACAGGAAGGAGATCTGAATTGCAACACTAAGTTCAAACGACTTTTCTTTGAAAGGCACTATTTCCCTGACACTCTCTTACAGCGAGTCTCATCCTATGGAAATATCTAGGAACAGCTATCCAATTTAAAAATCAAGGTAAGTACTTGGCCTATTTTTGATCCCATCAGCTGACCTGCCACAGTAACATCCTTCCTGCCACTCCGACTGCTTGAAAAGAAACAAAAAGCTGCAGGCACCTCCCTCCTCAGATGAATCCCGGTGTTAAATGTAATACTTTCACCGGCTCTTTCATGGTTTAAGAACTGTCCGTGTAGTCCTTCCAGGAAAGTGTGGATGTGTCAGGTGGGCATGGCTGGAAATGGTCACTGCCTGTTCCTGCAATGAGCATTCTGCCTGACAGGAATTCTGATGCCTGTGATGCAGAGAACTGCCCAGGATGGCACGTGCCCACACAGGGTATTTTGTCTTCTGCCTCTACACTTATTTCTTGCTACTTGGTACAATGGGACACAAACTGCAAAATGTCTGGGATCTGTAAAAAACCTTAAATGGACAATGCCAGCTTTCACCAAGCCCCCGCTGTTTTGTTCTTAATTTTCCCCTCCAAACACTCTCATTTTGAGGTTACTTACGGTTTTCTCAGAAAATTCCCTGAAGGTTGATGGGGGATTTTGGTCAGGTCAGAGCAGACGCTGCAGCAGGGAAGAAATCTTCAAGAATTGTTGTGGAATTTTCGGTTCTTTATTCACGTTAAAGAGGGATTTCCCCTTCTTTCCACTCCTGTGGAACAAGAAGTAACTTTTAGCCTGCTGTGTTTGTGGGACCTTTAGGAATTCCTAGCAATACTTAAAAAGGCTCAGCCCCTCAGTGCCTTTACTCTTCCCTTTCTTTCCCCATCTATTCCTATAGCCTTGCTTTGAGAGGGAGCAAACACAGGACAAGGAAGGTGACTCTCCTCGTCATCAGCTTGCAGTTTTCGCTAGACACTGTCCTCTCAAGTCAGCCCAGGATCAGAAAATTCAGGCTTTGACTGTGCTTTCATAACCCTGCTGTGGATCCCAAGCATCCACATTTGGTCTGTGTTTTTCCCCTTTTCTGATGTCTCATCAGGCAAAGGCCTATCAACACAGCAGGAAGCAAAACCAGCAGCAGCAGCGTCACCTCCTTTCTGGAGAGGAGAGGAAGAGAAAACCACTGTGTCTTGCAGCAGCTAAGAAGGGCAGGGTGCTGGTAATTTATTCCCCAAACAGTCCCTGGCTCCCTGAGGGCAGGGCTGACCAGAAATCTTTTGACCAACTCAGCCAAGGTAAGTGGGGCTGTGCAGTTACACCTGCCTGCCCTCTGCAGGTTTAAGGCATCGCTCGGTGTTCTCGTGGTTCTTTTTCAGATTTTATTTTGCAACAGCAGGCACAGGAAATGATGCCAGGAGCAAAACGAGTTCCCTGAGAAGATGAAGTAACCCTGTGATTTGCAGATCTGGGGGCTGGGCACAGATCATTGAACGTTTCCATGTCTTCTGTGTCGAGTCTTCGTGGAACCAAAGGAGGTGCAAGAGAAAGGAGCTGGGGATGCTTCACCTGTACAAGAACAAACACTGCTCTTCAAACAACAAGGGTAATCTCTAAATCCCTTTCCTCAGAAGGAGTAGGCTACACACTGTATTAACACTGACAGTTCTGTTCTAGAGAATGAGATGGGAAAGAGAAGTCCTGTTCTCTGTGTGTTTTTTCAAATTATAAAAAGGATAATTTTTTTAGTTCCAAAATACTCCCGAATATACATTCTTATAATAGTTAAAACCATTAAAATTTAATAATAATGTTTCTTCTCTGTTTCTGGGTCAGTTGTCAACTTCCTCAGCTGGTGCTGAATTGGAGTAACAAAGTTCTGGGATTAACCACTGTAAATGTAGTCATTAAACTTGCTTTTAGATGCCTTCCCAGGTAGAAAGTGCTAAAACAATGCAGCCAAATATATCACAAACTACAGGTTATAGTGGTGTTGCTCCATCACCTGAATTAGAGCTGTGACTTGTAAGTATTTCCTAGATCAGTGCTCCCGAGGACTCCCGACAGCCATGCCAAAAAATGGAAACCTTCCCTATTCGGCTTGGGATTAGAGGAACAACTCAAAAGACAAACATTTCAATGCATTCCGAGGGTTGTCCGTCAAAGAAGGATTCAGCCATCAAAGGCTGACACCTTCCTGTCCAGGGGTGAGTTGTCTCACCTCCCTGAGGTGGCTGCAGTCCAGTTCCTTCTGGCTCTGATGCCTCTGCAAACGTCAGCCCTGGCAGCGACTCGTCCTGGTCCAAGTCCGTGTGTCCCTGAAAATGAGGTAAATGCTCTTACGCTTGGTGGGACAGAGTGGAAATCACAGACACTTTGGGGCTTCTTCACAGGTTTTCAGGCCTCTTAGTCCTGAAAAAAAAACCCCAAACAAACCAAACCAAAACCGAAAATAAAACTCCTCAGAGTGTTTCTGGAGAGCTTTTCTGAAATTTTATCTTGTGCTGATGTTTCCGGTTCAAATAAGGAACCGTAAATCATCTGAGACCAAACAGATGACGAGGCATTTCATAAAGACATTATGCAGTATTTATCTCAAATAGCTTCTGCAGGAACAGTGCTTGACAGCCATGCAGGCCAACTGGAGGGTGAGGATGGGGGAGCAAAACCACCTGAAACTCTTTAATCCCATTTTTAACGTTATGGAATCTCAGTGCAAAACGTTTTCTCCGGGAGCCAGCTGGTGTTAGGAACACGTGACTACTACGTGGGCTATCAACCTCTTCCAGCCAGTCTCTAATTCCTAGAAATTGCTTTATGCCCAAGTCATTACTGCCTAATTAGAGCCCACAAGGGAAGTTCCATGGCACTGTGGGCACAATTGCATGTTTGGAGGCTCCTGCCAGACACAGGGACTGTAAGTGCTTGGTTGGTCAGGCTCGTACAAAAATGCTTTTGTAGCTGCCTCCAAGGGCTGGGAGTTTATTGGCAGTTATTTCACCCATGGATCACCAGGTTCTTATTCAGAACCAAGACTGCGGAGTTTTCCTTTGCCCTTCCTTATTTCTTTTGTTTTGAGTTCACTCAAAAGGTCTGGTTTTTGGGGGGGGGGAAAAGACCTGGTTATGGCTGAAAAAGTCTTAATTGTGAGAATCAAAACAGTCATGTAACTATGAAACACTGTTTTTAAAAAAATCCTTGGAATACAAATGACATCCTAATATTTCAAGGTCCGTACTTTATTTTTCTAATCTAATTTTAGACCTTCTTCATGGGAAAAAAGGTCACGATTGGAATTTTTTTTTCCCAGTCTTGGACCTTTAGGACAAATATTATATCCAGTATTTGGGTTAAGAAAAAACTAATCTGTTTAGGTGTTGCTTGATGTTTTTCAAAAGGACTTAATTTCAGTCATTTTTATTGGAATGTTTTGTGGGTTTGGTTTTGGGATTTTTTTGGTGTTTTTTTTTTCTTATTGTATGTGCAAAACTAAAGGTATTGGGGAAAAACGCTGCTGCAGTTTAATTTATACTACACAGAACCGAAGCTGGATTTAGTTGGAGATTTTTTGAGATGCTTTGTCAATAAACTATATAATGTATTAAGCAGATATGGCCCTGTGTGTTAATGCAGGATTGGAGATTGGAAGCACAAGTGGCAAGAAGTGGCTCAGGGAAGGGACAATGGCTCAGGCCAGCAAACTGCTTGTCATCCTCTGCTTCCCTGGGAAACCCATCCAGAAAGCTGGATTTTGCCTTAATGTGGGTGTCTGGATTTCACCTCCTGAGGGGGAAACCTGTCCTGATTCTGGATTCCACCCGCTGAGGGGAAAACCTGCCGAGTTTTTCCCCTCGCAGACACCTTTACTCGCAAAAAGGAGAATGGAAGAGCATCTCCCTCCTGCACCAAGTTCTCCCCCTCACAGGTACTTTTATTCCCTTAAGGGGAGTGGAAAAGCACCTCCTTCCTGCCCTTTTCCCCTCATGGGCACCTTTATTCTGCATGAAGGGAATGGAAAAACATCTCCCTCGTACACTGAGTATTTCCCTCACAGGCATCTTTATTCTCCTAAGAGGAGTGGAGAATCTCTCTCCCCTGCCAAGTTTCACCCTCACGGGCACCTTTATTCCCCAAGAAGGGAACGGAAGAGCATCTCCCTCCTGTGCTGAGTTTTCCCCCTCACAGGTACATTTCTTCCCCTAAGGGCAGTGGAAAAGCATCTCCTTCTCGCCCTTTTCCCCTCACAGCTACCTTTATTCCGCATGAGGGGAATGGAAGAGCATCTCCTTCCCTCGCTGACTTTTTCCTTCACAGGCACCTTTATTCCCCCAGAGACGAATGGAAGAGCATTTCCCTCCCTCCTGCACTTTTTCCCTCACAGGCACCTTTATTCTCCTGAGGGAAATGGGGAATATCCCTCCCGCGACGAGTTTTTCCCTCACAGGCACCTTTACTCCCCAAGAGGGGAATGGAAGAGCATTTCCCTCCCTCCCGCACTTTCCCCCTCGCAGGCACCTTTATTCTTCTGAGGGAGATGGAGAATATCCCTCCCGCGACGAGTTTTTTCCCTCACGGGCACCTTTATTCCCCAAGAGGGGAATGGAAGAGCATCGTCCCTGCGGGGCACGTTTATTCCCCGGGAGGTGGGCGGAGGAGCCTGCCGGTCTCTCTCCGCGGAGGCTCTGAGGGCTCGGGGCTCTGAGGGTTGGGGACACTCTGAGGGAGGGGGACACTCTGAGGGATGGGGACACTCTGAGGGTTGGGAACACTCTGAGGGTTCGGTCTCTCGTGGCTCTGAGGGCTCCGGGCTCTGCCCGCAGCCGCATCGTTCGCTCGCGCGCGCGCGTCCTGCAGCGGTTCCCCCCCGGCCCCGCCCCTCTCTAATCGCGCCGCCATCCCCGCGCGGCGGCGGCGGAGGGATACGCGGCTGCGGGCGGAGGGATCCACACGCTGGAGCCGCCCCGGGCAGGGAGAGCGGGCGGGAGGGAGGGGAGGAGGGAGGGGAGCGGGGCGAGGAGGGGGCGAGCGATGCGGCGCGGCCGCGCGGGCTGAGGCGAGGCAGCCCCGCTGCGGGCACGACGGCGGTGGGCGGCGGGGCTGGTGCCGCGGAGCGGCGGGAGAACAGCTGGGGAGGGGTCCGGGGGGCTCCGGCCGCGGCGAGGGGAGAGCGGAGCCTGAGGGGAGGCGGCCGGCGCGGGGGAAGGGCGAGGCTGCGGGGCCGGGCGGCGCGTGCCGGTCCTGCCGCGCTCCGGAGGCGCAGTTTAGTGGAAAAGGGAAGGGGGTAGAAAAGGGAAGCGGTTTAAAATAGCCCCCGGTCGCTCCGGGGGGTGGCTCCCGGTCCGTGCCGTGGCGGGGGGGCAGCGGGGCTCTGGTGCAGCCGCAGCCCGGGGGGCTTGGCCGTGAGAGGGGCGGGGGGCTCTGCCCTCGCTGCTCCCCTCGCCCGCCCGCCCTCGGGGCTTTTTTTGTGTGGGGAACGGGCAGGATGAGCTTGCGGAGTTTTGCTGGAATTTCTCCTTCCTTTCTGAGGCGCTGCCGCTGCTGAAGCAGATTTTCCCCTTCCTCTCTTTTTTTTTTTTTGTCTGATGCAGAATCCCAGTAGCTAGGCAGCCTCCCTCTTTTCTTTCCTCCCTTCCTTCCTTCCACCCCTCCGCTATGTAGGGAGGGACGGGCATCAATGGAAAGGCTGAAATACGCGTAGATGGACTTGCAGATGCATTTTTTCGTGAAAGAGGAGGATAAATCCCACTTGCCCCCGCGCTGACTTTTTTATTGCTGTTGCATCGCCTGGAAAAATGGGGTTCGCTCGCTCCTGCTGAATCCTCGGAGCATTCCAGAGAGTTGCTGCAGCGAAGGACTTCTCTAATTTTTTTTGCGTCGGAGGAGCTGCGTTGATGTTAACCGCTTTTTTGTAAAATGGAGAACGAGATCTTCACACCCCTTCTGGAGCAGTTCATGTCGAGCCCTCTTGTCACCTGGGTAAGCGTTCATTTTGCCTCCCCCCCGTTACTCGTTTTATTTGCTCATTGTTCGACGAGAAGTGCCTTGCGGCAAGAGAGCGAGGTGGAGTTAATGTCAGGGTGGTGGTGATGATGAGCATTATGTTTTAGGTTAAGACATTCGGACCGTTAGCCGGAGGAAATGGGACCAACCTGGAGGAATATGTGGCGCTGGTGGATGGAGTGTATCTGAACGAAGTCATGCTGCAAATGTGAGTGTGGGCAGGCGCTGCCTCGGGGTTATTTTTTTTTTTTTTTCCCGTTCTATTTCTCCTGTATTTTTGCTTCCTTGTGAAAAATCCTTTCCCTCCCTCCCCGTGTTGACCTTGGGGAAATTTTTCTTTTGTACGTGACACGGTCATGTGGTGAGTGAAGAGGAGGCTCGGGAGCCTGGCAGATCCTGTGCAATGTCCAAGGGATGTATTTGCAGGATGTATAGTGTGATGCAGGCTGAATCACGGCTGGAGAATTTACTGGAAAACGGGAGGACTGTAAATACTTTCCCAGATTTCCACTGAGAGGAGTAAGGATTCATTCTGCTGTTAAGTCCTGCTCATAACCAAAAATCTGAATAAATTTGCTTGGCTGATAAGATTCTAATCCATATCCTGGCTCACGTGACCTACAACTTGAGGCTGGCATGCGAGTCACACAGTGCTCACTGAGCAAATGGACTGGCCTTTAACTCCTTCCTCTTTATTTTCCACGCTTCCAAATCAGAGTGGATAGCAGCTGAGCTGATAGTTTGAGAGTACAGAGTATATTCTGGCTGCAAACCACAGAAGAACCGTTTTTATGTGGGTTTGTAAACCGTTCATTGGAAAACTCTGATTGTTAGAAGGATTTCCTGACAGTGGTTTTTTGTTGATCATCATTTTGACTGGAATGTTGCCCACTGCTGTAGTGCTGGAGAGTAACACTTCTGTCAGGTGTCTGGTGATAGACTCATAAAAGTGTTACTAGTGCAAAAATTTCTACATCCTTTTTGATATTTTAAGTCTTTACAGAGAAATAAGCCTTTTGTTTGTACAGGTATGGAAAACTAGGCTTGTGGCTGGAAACTGGGTACACCAGTGCATGAGCAGCTTGTGTTGGCAGCTGTTCCTCAGGAACACTGCTCAGGGATGGGCATCCTCTTAACTCTGTAGTTTTTTGCTCATATTTAGGACTTTAAAAGTTCGTGCAGTTGGTGTTCAGTTGGTATTCACATCTTTCTGCAACCACAGTTTTCTTCGACACCTACTTCTGCTCAACCAAAATTCCAAGTATTCACTTAAAATATTCCCTCTAATGCTGAGAAACATGGAAGACTTGGTGGAATTGAACTTCTTGGAAGAAAAACCCAAACAAACCCGAGTCCATTCTGGCGCATTATTTTTATTTTACAATTTATTTTTTTCCTTGGGCTACTTGTAAATTAAATATCTTATCAGCTACATCCATGCATTTAACACGTAGAGCTTCTACTTGGTAAGAAAGTTTGACTCAGGGAAGGCAAATTTAGCACTGGAACAAGGTGATTCTGAAGAATATAGTCCTGGAGTTAAACTTTATTGGTAATTTTTTTAACAGTGAGCATAAATTGATACCTGGCACACGCTTGTAAAGTGGAAAGCTGTTGGGAAGGAACATTCCTGTGCCTAAGGCACCGTGTGTTGAGTTTGGCTTTGACTTTGTGCATCTTTGACCCCATGCCATGATTGCTGGAGTTTACTCAGGAGGTGCTGGGTGTGTAGGTATAAAAAACCCACACACTGGAGATGTAAATTGAAAAGAGTTTGTTAAGTCAGAACAGTTAAAAACTACCTGAAACTAGAGGTGAACGTAAAAGGATCGGCGTACAAATAAAATTAATTTTAGAAATATGCATCCGCACTGGAAGGTGTGTTTTACTTTAAATACATTATTTGGGAGGTTGAGGTTGGTTACTGCTTAGAATTGCCTTTCATGACTGTGTTCATATTTTGGGAAGGTTCAGTTTGTTTTGGGTTTTGTGCCAGGACTGAAAGAGGGGAAAAACTGTTTCATGTTTTTCAGACTGATTCTGTCAGCGGTGAAGTCACTGTGGAAAGCTGTGTTCACCTCCAGTCCTGTTCACCTTGAATATCCACTTATTAAGCACACATCTTCCTTTGCAAAGAGGCAGCCCCAACTAATCACCAAGAGAACTTATTTCCAGTGTTTGCCATTTTTATTTCTTTTATTTTCCTTTCATTCTTAGCTACCACGTGTTGAGGAAATGTGGCAGAAAAGTTTGTGTCACGTGACTTCAAAAGAGAGGTGTTTTTCGTCAGAATGTTGGGATTGGAGGTTTTGTTGTTGTTTGGTTGGTTTGGTTTGGGGTTTTCTTTTTTAAAGCTCTCAGTGACTTCCCACGAGAACAAGCTCTGTGGTAAGGAGCTCTGGCAGTGGAGGCTGTCAGAGGTGCTGTGCTCCTTCTCCCCATATACTTTAATACTTACCTGTGTTCTTGCCAAATGTTGGAAAACCAAATTCTGTGACCCTAAAAGTGAGCGTTTAATATTGGATTAGGCATGGTTTGCAAACAGTGGCACAGTCAAAAAAAAAAAAGTGGCTTTGTTAGTTAGGGAAGGTTTTTAATTCGGTCAGAAAAGAGTTAATCCTGCCCTCCATCAGCTACCAGTGAGAGTTTGTCAGGACAGGATTTGTTTCTCCTTGTGCTTGTCTGGATCAACTTTATTTCCCACAATTGTAATGATTCAGAGGAAATAGGTGTGAGCACTGGAATAGTTGCAGGATGCTGATGGGACCGAGACTGTAGGGTCTGTCAGCACTGAGTTTATCAGTACCTCGTGCATGAGAGGGGAAAATTCATTGCATTCCTTGTCTGTCTTTCGACTTTGGCTTTTTGGACACTTCTGAACATGTGAAAATTGCACAGATTCCATTCGGTGTCCAGTTACATCTGAAGAGCTCTTCCTTTGTTGGAGATGCTACAGGCTCGTTTAATTATTGCCTTTTTTTAATTTTGTTTTTAATTAAGGAGAGTCCCAGCGTTACAATATTAGCTCCCGACTTGAGAGAATGCCTCTAATTTCCTGTTTAAATTTAGGCCCAGTTCTTCAAAAGTGTTGGGTTACCTACCTTCTGCTGGGATCAGTCAGTATCTGATACTTGGGCATAGAGACCCATCTGTCCTTCTAAATCTGAGCCTTTATCTTTGTGTTCTTTGGTACAAAAAGGGGGTCATGCTGCCTGCAAATCAATCAGAGCCCAGAGATCACTGCAGGGCTGCTCTGCCAGGGCAGGGAGGGGGGGGACACACGCCAGGAACCCTTCATACCTTCAACTGCACCTCTATATCACGATCCTTCTGACATGGGAAAGTGAAAATCTGTTGTGTGTAGTGCTGACATCAGTGAACCACTGCCATTCAGTGGATTAGTCACCTGTTGCACATCTCTGCACAATTGCAGTAAAATAATACTTGCTTGTCCCAGAGGTACTTTTCCAGCACCTGACTGGCATCACCTCAGGGGCTTTTTATAGTCTGAGCATTGTGCTGTTTGTGTTCCTCTGATCCAAAAACATCAAGGTAACTTTACAGAAACACTCGTTTTCTGAGTGCTGTTTAATTCACATTTTTGATAGGTTCCTGTTCTCTGATATTTAACTGAATTCCAACAGGATTGTGTAAGAAATGCTGGGAGTCTTGTAGTGTGAGCTGTGGTTCCCAGACTGACAAGGGTCTTGCTAGTTCCTTTGAATAAAAACAGACAGCTGCAAGTAGTTACAAGATTGGGGCTTTCATTACATTTACCACCACCATTAATATTTGGTCAAGCAACAAAGACTTAAAACTGTATTTTACTTTTTTTTGTTTTATTTTACTATGCTTTGCAGTTGTGGAAAGAAATCTGGTTTAAAGGAACTCTTGGACACAGACTGTGTGCAGGGTTGGTAACGTGCAGACCCAAACTCTGAATTAATTTAATCCACTGTCTGGAAAACCTGGCTGCTTGCACCCCAGTGTGCCATTTATAACTTTGCTCTTAATTTAATCTATTAACCAGGACTTTCCGTATCAGTTGCTGCATCCAGACATGCTGAAAGCCGCTTCAAAGGGCGAAATATTTTATCCTCCTCCTGTTTTTTTTCCCCTTTTGCTATTCTCCCACTGCTTTTCCCTGGCTGGATTCGCTTGCAGGCCTTTCCCACCCCTCAGATTTTCCAGGTGGACGGGCCGAGTGTTTCCTTGCCCGGCTCTGGCGGTGTGTGCCCAGAATGTGGACTGCTGCCCTGGCTGCTCTTCTGAGCTCTCAGTCTTCACTTGTGAGCTTTTTTCCAAGCACTGGAGCCTGCCAGCCCATACTTCTGGCTTGCCTATATCTTTCCCTGAAAGCTGGACTCGGTCTCCGGTGCAGCAGCCAGCTGCCTGCTCTGGGAAAGGGAGCAGGAACAGCCACTCCGCTCCAATTAACTCCTTCTTGGGAACACCAAGCAGCAAGAGGCAGGTTCTGGCTGGGTGGGGAAATAGGGAAAAGAGGGAAATGAAACCGGTGACTTTGGCTGTAGGAGCATCTACTTTAGGAAGAAGGTCAAATATTATGAAGTCTGCACCTTTCTCACTTTGTTGTAGCAAGTGTATTTGATTCCCACTTCTCAGACGTGCTCTGTCGGGTTTCTACAGGTGCAAGGTACATCTCCCTCTCAAAATTTGGAGCTGTTGATCTCTTCTGCAGCAGCAGCAGGTCCTAGA